TGGTAATGATACAGATAAACAGTGATGACCACGCCTCAAACCATAGTAATGATACAGATATACACAGTTGACTACGCCTCAAACCGTAGTAATGATACATATACACAGATGGCCACGCCTCAAATCGTGGTAAATATACAGACACACAGATGACCACGCCTCAAACCGTGGTAAAGATACAGATACACAGATGGCCACGCCTCAAACCGTGGTAATGATACAGGTACACATAGATGGCCACACCTCAAACCGTGTTAATGATACATATACACAGATGGTCACACCTCAAACCGTGGTAATGACACATATACACCCAGATGACCACGCCTCAAACCGTAGTAATGATACAGATACACATATGGCCACGCCTCAAACCGTGGTAATGATACAGATACACTGATAGCCACGCCTCAAACCGAGGTAATGATACAGATAGACAGATTGCCACGCCTCAAACCGAGGTAATGATACAGATACATAGAATAGCCACGCGTCAAACCGTGGTAATGATACAGATACACAGATGACCACGCCTCAAACCATGTTAATGATACAGATACACAGATGACGACGCCTCAAAGCGTGGTAATGATACAGATACACATAGATAACCACGGTTCAAACCGTGGTAATGATACAGATACACAGAGATGGCCACACCCCAAACCGTGGTAATGATAGAGATAGGCACAGATGACCACGCCTCAAACCGTCGTAATGAGACAGATACACACAGATGACCACGCCTCAAACCGTCGTAATGATACAGATACACACAGATGACCACGCCTCAAACCGTGGTAATGATAAAGAAACACAGAGATGACCACGCCTCAAACCGTGGTAATGATACAGATACACAGAGATGGCCACGCCTCAAACCGTGGTAATGAGACAGATATACACAGATGACCACGCCTCAAACCGTCGTAATGTTACAGATACACATAGATAGCAACGCCTCAAACCGTGGTAATGATACAGATATACACAGATGACCACGCCTCTAACCATCGTAATGATACATACATACACAAATGACCACGTCTCAAACCGTGGTAATGATACAGATACACAGATGACCACGTCTCAAACCGTAGTAATGATACAGATATAAAGAGATGGACACGCCTCAAACCGTCGTAATGATAGAGATACACAGAGATGGACACGCCTCAAACGGTGGTAATGATACAGATACACAGAGATGACCACGCCTCAAACCGTGGTAATGATACAGATACACAGAGATGACCACGCCTCAAACCATGGTAATGATACAGATATACACAGATGACCACGCCTCGAACAGTGGTAATGAAACAGATATACACAGATGACCACGCCTGAAACAGTCGTAATGATACAGATATACACAGTTAACCACGGCTCAAACCGTGGTAATGATACAGATATACAGTGATGACCACGCCTCAATCCATGGTAATGATACAGATATACACAGTTGACTACGCCTCAAACCGTGGTAATGATACAGATACACAGATTGCCACACCTCAAGGCGTGGTAATGATACAGATACACAGATGGCCATGCCTCAATTCGTGGTAATGATACAGATACACAGAGATGACCGCGCCTCAAACCGTAGTAATGATACAGATATACACAGATGGCCACGCCTCAAACCATCGTAATGATACAGATATACACAGATGACCACGCCTGAAACCATGGTAATGATACAGATACACAGATGACTACGCCTCTAACCGTGGTAATGATACAGATATACACAGATGACCACGCCTCAAACCGTCGTAATGATACAGATATACACAGATGACCACGCCTCAAACCATCGTAATGATACATACATACACAAATGACCACGTCTCAAACCGTGGTAATGATACAGATACACAGATGACCACGTCTCAAACCGTGGTAATGATACAGATACACAGATGACCACGCCTCAAACCGTCGTAATGATATAGATACACAGAGATGGACACGCCTCAACCCGTCGTACTGATAGAGATACACAGAGATGGACACGCCTCAAACGGTGGTAATGATACAGATACACAGAGATGACCACGCCTCAAACCGTGGTAATGATACAGATACACAGAGATGACCACGCCTCAAACCATGGTAATGATACAGATATACACAGATGACCACGCCTCAAACCGTGGTAATGATACAGATATACAGTGATGACCACGCCTCAAACCATGGTAATGATTCAGATATACACAGTTGACTACGCCTCAAACCGTGGTAATGATACAGATACACAGATGGCCACGCCTCAAGCCGTGGTAATGATACAGATACACAGATGACCATGCCTCAAACCGTGGTAATGATACAGATACACAGAGATGACCGCGCCTCAAACCGTAGTAATGATACAGATATACACAGATGACCACGCCTGAAACCATGGTAATGATACAGATACACAGATGACTACGCCTCTAACCGTGGTAATGGTACAGATATACACAGATGACCCCGCCTCAAACCATGGAAATTATAGAGATATACACAGATGACCACGCCTCAAACCGTCGTAATGATACAGATATACACATATGACCACGCCTCAAACCATGGTAATGAGACAGATATACACAGATGACCACGCCTCAAACCGTAGTAATGATACAGATATACACAGATGACCACGCCTCAAACCGTAGTAATGATACATATATACACAGATGACCACTCCTCAAACCGTAGTAATGATACAGATACACAGATGACCACGCCTCAAACCGTCGTAATGATACAGATACACAGATGACCAGGCATCAAACCGTGGTAATGATACCTCAAATCATGGCAGTGATACAAAAAAGGCAGGGTGTATACAATATTTTATTTTATTGTTACATTTACGGCATTGTCTTATCCGTCCTATTATACATATTACCTGTGAAGATCCGGATTAGATTTGATCTTCAGCAACCCATGCTTGTCGTGAGATGCGACTTGATCGATCGGGTGGTGAGGCTCGCAGACTTAGTTTGACACGTGTCATCGTGTCCCAATTTCGTAGATCGATGCTCATGATGTTGATCACTGGATTGTCTGGTCCAGACTATATTATTTATGGACCGAAGCCATATAGCTGGACTAGTGCTGAGTGTGGACTTAAACAACAAACAAACAAACAATATCACATGAAGATAATGAAGATTCTTTTGGACTGATTAAAATTTAGACCTCCATTTTAGAAGTAACATAGATTTCTAAACTGTCATAACTGAAAAGCCGATATATTAGCAAAGTTTTCGTCTTGCAGTTTGCTCAGCCATAGTTTGTCATTGTAACAACAAGAAAAGAGTACCCGTGAAGGTCCGGGTTGGAATATTGATCTTCAGTAACCCATGCTTGTCGTAAGAGGCGACTAACGGGTTTGGGTAGTCAGGCTCGCTGACTTGGTTGACACATGTCATCGGTTCCCAATTGCGCAGATCGATGCTCATGCTGTTGATCACTGGATTGTCTGGTCCAGACTCGATTATTAACAGACCGCCGTCATATAGCTGGAATCTTGCTGAGTGCGGCGTAAAACTAGACTCAGTCACTCACAAGTAAAGATTTCCATTCGCTTTTATTATGTGCTAGAGTTTTCTTATAAATCCTTTTTATATATAATCTCTTCAAAACTGACGGTTGGGATGGGACAGCAACCATGTTCCCCACCCCCAACCCGTTACAATATCAGTTGAATACCATGAAGGAGAAGGTAAAAAGAAGGAAGAGATTTAAGCAGCAGAAAGAACAGATTTTATTCTTTGTGCTAAAGGTGGTGAAAGGTGATGAACTCTGACTGTGAAAGACGTCTGTAAGTTTATAACTCTCTCACTCCACCCGGTGGAGAAAAAGAATGATATGCTAAATAACTGTCTGTATCTGCTAACGATCAATTTCTCTCAGATTGAATATTGATGATGTAAAATAATGCCCGAAATATCTGCAATTCATCAAAATAAATTCCTAAACAATTCCTGTGCACAATGTTATTGAAATAATCTAGCTTCTTAGGTGAATCATTTAGGAGCTCCACACCGCACTTTCTCTGAGACTGAAAGAATATTTTTCCATCCGGGTGCACGTTTAAAGAAAGATGGATGACGGCATTCTGAGAAGTTGACCGACATTCTAGTGTTACTGGCACAGTGTTCGGATAGCAAACGGAGCGCAATATTTACAAAATAGACGTATATAGGGCATTTGGAACATGTCCAAGTGACTGGAATGTAGAATCAATGTTTCCTATTGTACTGTTCATCATCCCTTTTCATCATCCGCCGATGAGTGCCAGTAAGGGCTGTGACGTAATGGCTGTGGATCCAAGATAGAGATGATATACAGAAGCAGAAAGTCTCTCCACACTCAGACACTACTAGCGTCAAGGCAAATATATAATCTTACATGTGAACTATTGATCTGTGTATCCATATATATTCAATAGAAACAAATATATATCAAGTCAAAAGCTCCAAACCAAACAGTGCTGGACCGACGAATACAAGTAACAGTGCATAGGGCTGGGGAAACATTCTACCTCGGGTGGTGATATTGATTTGACATGTTAGAAATCGACAAACCGTATGAAACACGATATCAAGCATTAAGTTTTGCTATTGTAATCTGCTATCGAATAGAACATTGATTTTCATTGTCGAGATCGTTTGTTTTGTGATTGTTGCTTCAAGGCCCTGACGACAGCAACTGACGTAGCTGGTGAACAATTTCACCGTTCTAAACATGGTCGCACTCAAACAGTATTGTACTGTGTATGACTTAAACCAGTTTTCAGTGTCACTCTGTGAATGAAGCCAATCAATATACGATGCCATGACAACACGGATCACCTTGTATGCCTGTCCCAATGCTGGCGATGAAGAAACCAGCACGCCTTTGTCTGGAACAAAACATGTAAGTTTGTCTATGATTAATTTATGAACTGGATCGATGTGTAAATAAAGGATTCGATTTATCTCTGCTTATGTCCCTTTGGACAGTATGTAGTGAAAGCGGCATAAAACAACTAACTGTTACCATCTTATTCGGGCTTTGACGTAGATGGTTTCCAAGATCACAGAGACACAAACATCAGTCAGAGAGATATCCAAAAGTGAGGATTCTGTTCCATTGGTGTATTTCAACATCCATTTGGCCGACAACAAGTGACTGTGAGTTTGACTTGTGAATACTATGTTTCGTTCATATTTTCCTAGCAAATACCGTTTAAGGTAACGAAATATATTACGTAATAGTTCTGACACTGAAAAATGGATGATGGATGGATACCCCTACTTTGAAATCGTAGAATATACAGGGGAACCTGTGAAGTAGGATATTCTGTCTGTCCGCCTGTGTGTGTGCCCTAATGAATATGAAAAAGTATCAAATAAATGTGATAAATGTTCTAAGATGATGCAAATAATAACAACAGGTGTCACTTTAAAACAAATGGGCCAAAAGGTCGTCTCTTTTGGTCAAAGCAACGTTTTATGAGACGAAAGCAATGCTTCCAAAGACCCTTGGAGTCTGTTTGTCACAATTGTCCCAAAAACAATCAAAACACAATGATTTGGTTTGGGCATTATTTAAGACATCCCGGTGTTATTACAATGGAGGAAACTCAAGATACCGCCGTCTGGAGATATTTACCACTCAGGTGAAGCACGAGCGCTTTGATACGATGGTGCCAGATTACCTATAGTAGTAAATTTGGGGTTAAAACTACCGGAAGGTCCGAGGTGGGCTTAAAACGTGGTCATTCATGTGCGGCTCGGTGTATAAACAGAAACCACATTCAATCAACAACTCTGACCTAAAAGAACATCTTCCATGAAGATGAACAGACTTCTTTAACTATCTTCTTTTTCTTAAAGGAGAGAAATGCTACAATGGAAAGGTTTTGATGAAACGACGCTTTGTTGGGAGGTTGCTTGCTTCATATCAAATACTAGTATGTCTCTTCTTAGCACTGTTATATTCCAGACGTATATTTGTCATGTCGAGTTTATCCTCAAAGTTACACAAATACGGCATCGAGGAGGATTGAAACAGGAAACGTCATGTTAAGGGCAGACAAGTGAATGAGAGAAGAATCTTTATGGCCAGGTTTAGTCTATGCGTGCAGTGGTTATACAGATGGAGGACTTGTGTAGAACTAAGAATGTCAGAGTTGCAGCACTGACAGGTGTATGCTGGTCAGTAAATGTGTTTGTGCTCAAAGTTTGCAAAGTTCTTATCACGTTTGGATTGATGACAGATGGTCACGTCCATTAGACTGTCAGGTACTAGGCTCCAGTACTTTGTATAGTTGAATCCGATTGTGGTGGGAAGCAAGGAGAAAGGTTTTACGGACAATGTTGTCAAACATGACCGCTATGAAGATATTCAATCGTGGTTTGGGACGGGATCACTGGAGCTGGAAGAACCAATCTGCACGCCCATCAGCGGCGCAAGATGCCAAGTGTGCGCTTCTGGGGAAACATTCTGGAAGAGTACGTGAGACCGATGGATTATTGTTGCAAACGCACTGGAACTCATGGACGATAGTAAATGGCCTCGTAGTACTGGGGGTCGTTGATGCCTATTTAAAGTGGGAGACCATTGTCCGAATGAAGTGACCAGCCCGGTCCCCACATCTCAATCCTGTCCCCAGATCTTAATCCTGTCAGCATCATATGTAACGAGCTGCAGACTGCTCTCACATGACCACCTGACCTTCCAGCAGCACCACAAGGTTCGGCAAGACTCTTACTGAAGAGTATGAGGACGTTCCGTCTCACGGTACATTTGCGACTCGACGACTCAAGGCTTCTGATACACTTAAAAATTGCTGGGCCTCACAAGGAATGCGACTGAGCTCCAACTACACACCAGGCATTCGTGTGTAAAATGTACATGTTGAGCGTGTCAAAGTTGAACGAGTGAGCGATCCTCTTTCAGCTAAAACCCGTCTATTCACCCCGATAGTGAGATCATGTACATGTTTTATGTACAACAAGTGAGTACGACTTGTCCACGAGTTATATAACATGCATCAACCTATCGGTGGACATACAGTGTGTGAGTCTACTGATGGGAATGTATGTACCCCCACTGGCTCTCCCTTCTACCACACTACAGGGGCGGTGGGGTAGCCTAATGGTTAAAGCGTTGGCTCGTCACGCTGAAGACCCGGGTTCGAATCCCCACATGGGTACAATATGTGAAGCCCATTTCTTGTGTCCCCCGCCGTGATGTTGCTGGAATATTGCTAAAAGCGGCGTAAAACCAAACTCAGTCAGTCAGTCTACCACACTACAGATCATGTGACAGCCATAGACGATGTAGAGCAGTGACTCACCCACACCACAGACGGCAGCTTCGAGACAGTAATGTGCGGGGACCTTAACGCACGGGTCGGGAGTGGCAACAACCCCCCAGAGACAGTTGACCGGCCAGGGGTCGACAGAGCAGCGTTTCCCGAGGAGGAGAGTGTACCTCTCGACACGAGAAGCTCGTGTGATCTAATTGTAAATACATTGGGAAGAAAATTACTTGATCTTTGTTTTACTCATCATTTGTACATATGTAATGGTAGATGTGTGGGAGATAGAGAGGGGAACTTTACATCCATATCAGAAGCTGGCTCGAGCGTTATTGACTTTTTTATTGCATCTGTAAATATTTATTCACATTGTAAATACTTAACGGTGCACTCAAGGGTTGAATCGAAGCACATGCCTGTTAGTTTGATGTTAAGCTTTGATGCAGTTGAGACTGCACCTGTAGATAATAGTGGTGATAATGATCATGAAGGTTCAGCTCGATATATGTGGAATGGAGATAATGTACAAACCTTTCTAGATTAATTGTGTGAACACCTACCGGTTCTTGATGATCTAGTAGATTTAGTTAATGTTGATGTCAACAAAGCACTTGATATATTTGTCAAACATATTTTGAAATCAGCAGATGTGTTTAAAACGATACCTTATAAAGCAGCTAATCGTGGATTTTATACTAGTAGATGTCAGTATGCTAAGCGAGAGGCTAGAAGAGAATTGAGACGTTACAGAAACACTAAATCAGCCGTCAGTAGACGCAGATATTGTGAACTAAGGAATAAATACAAATATGTAGAAAAGCTAAGTTCACATTTCAGCAAAAGAAAAGTTCTAAGTTAAAATCTTAACACTTCTGCTTTTTGGAAAAAGTTGAGAAGTCTGAATAATACAAAGAGCTCTCGTTGTCCATTAGATAAATCTTTATTGTATAATCATTTTAAAAGGTTGTTCACACCCCAAAATCAAGCTGATGATACCATTGAGAATGATGTTTTCAGTCCTGATGTAAATATTCCTTTAAGTGACATTGATCGCTGTATTCTTGAGTCTGCTATCACTGATGAAGAAATAGGTTCATGTCTTTTTCATCTGAAAAATGGCAAGTCAGCTGGTAGTGATGTTGTAATTGTTGAACTGTTGAAATCATCTATACGTATTATTATGCCTTTTTTAAAGATATTGTTTAATAGTATTTTAAACACAGGTGTTTTTCCCATGGCTTGGTCGAAAGCAATAGTTATTCCTTTACATAAAAAGGGTGATCGCAAAAACCCAGATAATTACAGGGGGATTTCTTTATTGTGTATATTAAGTAAATTATATACATCTATTTTAAATGTCCTTATCACGAACTGGGCAAAAATATGGAGTAAAGTTCCCGAAACACAAGCAGGTTTTAGAAAAGGGTACTCTACGATTGATCATATGTTTACTTTGCATGGTGTTATAGAAAAATGTCTAATTAAGAAAAGGAAAAGTTTTATGCTGCTTTTATTTGTTTTTAGAAAAGCCTTTGATTCAGTTGACCATTCTAAGTTATATAAGTGCTTATTCAAATCCGGTTTACATGGGAAAATGCTAACTGCTATAATTAGTATTTACAGCTCGGTGACAGCTTGTGTTAGAAGTGATAACGGATATACCGAGTATTTTGGCTGTCCAGTTGGTTTAGAGAAAGGATGTGTTCTTAGTCCTTTATTGTTTTCCTTTTTCATTAGTGAATTATCAGACGACATATCTAGATATGGTAAATATGGATGGCAGTTATTTCCAGACTTATTAGAAATCATGTTACTTATGTTTGCGGATGATGTTGTTCTTATATCTGACACAATTCCAGGCTTACAGAATCAACTTAATATTTTACATAATTACACTGAATATTCAGGTCTAAAAGTAAATTTAGACAAGACAAATATTGTTGTTTTTAGAAGGGGAGGGCGCTTAGCAAGAAATGAACAGTGGTTTTTAAATGGCCAACCAATAACAACATTAAATACTTATAAATATTTGGGAGTTATATTTTCGTCAACATTTAAGATGAGAAATTGCATCAATGATTTAGCACTGAGGGGTAAGCGGGCTTTAATGGAAGTAATAAGTAATTTAAATGGAATTGGAATAGTAGACCCCAGTGTGTATTTTAAGATATTTGATTCGCAGATACAGCCGATATTACTATATGGGGCAGAAATCTGGGGAATATATAAATTTTATGAAATAGAAAAGGTTCATCTAACAGCTTGCAAACGTTTCTTGAATGTCAGCCCTCAAACACCTACTGCCATTGTATATGGCGAGTGTGGAAGATATCCTTTAAAATATTGGTTAAAAGTTAGTCATATGCATGAAGATAGAACTCCTTTGAAAGTGTACAAAATGCAAATGTATTACGATAACTGTGGATATAAGACATATGCTTCATATATTAAAGAAATACTTTTCTCACATGGATTTGGTTACGTCTGGATGTCTCAGACAGTTGGTGATGCAGCTTCATTTGTAAATAGATTCAAGACTGTTGCAATCAATATGTTTTTTTCAATCATGGAATTGTACATTGAATAACAGTTCACGATACCGTATTTACCGAGAGTTTAAAAGTCTGTTAACTCCAGAAAAATATTTATCATGTATCTTGGACAAAATGTTTCGAAATATTTTGATCAAATTTAGATGTGGGTTATTAAGGTTAAAGTATAATGAGGGAAGATGGTTAAATGTTGAGGTTGCAGAACGTAATTGTCCATTGTGTAAGCTGGGTGTAGAAGATGAATATCATTTATATCAGAAACAACCAAACTACTATAAATTTAAGTCCCTGTTATCAACAAATAATGAAACACTTTTAAGAAATTTATGTAAATATATCTTTCATGCTTATAAAATCAGAGCAATCAAACTCCAATACATTTTCTTTAAACCACAGATTTGTCCATTTTAAATGTTTATAAAGGTGTGTATATATGTTTATATTAAATATTATATTTATACTGACAAGAAATCTATTTGAACAAATAACACGTGTATTATTGATATGTATGCCCTTTAAAGTGTATCTATATTTGTAAACAAATGTATGTATGTTGTATATGGGCCTGTGGCCTACATACGGAATAAAAAATACTTGACTTGCTTTGAGTCAGTGATATTCGCATATTATTCAACCATATGTCCAAGTGCGTACATGCTGCACTCGGCTGGCTGCTCAGAGGGACGAGAAAAGATAAACGTCAGTTGTGAAGTTTAAGAAGACAGCAGCCGTGTTTATTGTTGATGGGGAGTAACGGCCACAATGTTACAAGCTAATAGTACTCAGACAGAGAGCATACAGGGCGAGAGCGGTCAATGTTCTCAGAGTGCAGACTTGCTCCGTCACCTGATATTCGGATGGTGTTTCTCCAAGGCCATCGCCACTACGTCCCATAGAACCGCACGCTCCTGTCGCTGATCCTGGGCTCCATTCCTTGATTGACAATATCAATCACATTTAGTAAGCAGGGTGTGGTTTATGGTCAGTGACCCACTTTGTAGATATCGCGATGCTCATACTGTTGATCACTTAATTGTCTGGTCCAGACTCGATTATTTACAGACCAATGCCATATAGCTGGAATATTACCTAGTACGGTGTTAAATAACAAACAGTTAAAATTGACCCACTTACATGTACAAAGGTAAGATCCGGTGACGTAAGGAGGTTTTAATTGACATTTGTAAACGGCGATGAAGACTTATAGTCCTATACGAGAGAGTGTATAATAGAAGGGTTATATGAATGACTATTTGCTGAAGACTTATAGTCCTATACGAGAGAGTGTATAATAGAAGGGTTATATGAATGACTATTTGCTGAAGACTTATAGTCCTATACGTGGGAGTGTATAATAGAAGGGTTATATGAATGACTATTTGCTGAAGACTTATAGTCCTATACGAGAGAATGTATAATAGAAGGGATATATGAATGACTATTTGCTGAAGACTTATAGTCCTATACGAGAGAGTGTATAATAGAAGGGTTATATGAATGACTATTTGCTGAAGACTTATAGTCCTATACGAGAGAGTGTATAAAAGAAGGGTTATATGAATGACTATTTGATGAAGACTTATAGTCCTATACGAGAGAGTGTATAATAGAAGGGTTATATGAATGACTATTTGATGAAGACTTATAGTCCTATACGAGAGAGTGTATAATAGAAGGGTTATATGAATGACTATTTGATGAAGACTTATAGTCCTCTACGAGAGAGTGTATAATAGAAGGGTTATATGAATGACTATTTGATGAAGACTTATAGTCCTATACGAGAGAGTGTATAATAGAAGGGATATATGAATGACTATTTGATGAAGACTTATAGTCCTATACGAGAGAGTGTATAATAGAAGGGTTATATGAATGACTATTTGCTGAAGACTTATAGTCCTCTACGAGAGAGTGTATAATAGAAAGGTTATATGAATGACTATTTGCTGAAGACTTATAGTCCTATACGAGAGAGTGTATAATAGAAGGGTTATATGAATGACTATTTGCTGAAGACTTATAGTCCTATACGAGAGAGTGTATAATAGAAGGGTTATATGAATGACTATTTGCTGAAGACTTATAGTCCTATACGAGAGAGTGTATAATAGAAGGGTTATATGAATGACTATTTGCTGAAGACTTATAGTCCTATACGAGAGAGTGTATAATAGAAGGGTTATATGAATGACTATTTGCTGAAGACTTATAGTCCTATACGAGAGAGTGTATAATAGAAGGGTTATATGAATGACTATTTGATGAAGACTTATAGTCCTATACGAGAGAGTGTATAATAGAAGGGTTATATGAATGACTATTTGCTGAAGACTTATAGTCCTATACGAGAGAGTGTATAATAGAAGGGTTATATGAATGACTATTTCATGAAGACTTATAGTCCTCTACGAGAGAGTGTATAATAGAAGGGTTATATGAATGACTATTTGATGAAGACTTATAGTCCTATACGAGAGAGTGTATAATAGAAGGGTTATATGAATGACTATTTGATGAAGACTTATAGTCCTATACGAGAGAGTGTATAATAGAAGGGTTATATGAATGACTATTTGATGAAGACTTATAGTCCTATACGAGAGAGTGTAGAATAGAAGGGTTATATGAATGACTATTTGCTGAAGACTTATAGTCCTATATGAGAGAGTATAATAGAAGGGTTATATGAATAACTATTTGATGAAGACTTATAGTCCTATACGAGAGAGTGTATAATAGAAGGGTTATATGAATAACTATTTGCTGAATTCATTAGAAAGACAAAGAAGAAAAAACACCCGAGTACATTTAGAACATATTGTGCAACAAAAACCCACACAGAATAAATGAAGTTTTTAAGAACTGTATGTGAACAGCTGTGCAACAGTCACCAATACCATGGCTCACGGCAAACAATTAGCCAGGTCAGTCTGATCAGTGATTCCCATGTGTATCGTCGCCTGTGTGTGGATAACTTGAGAACGTTACGGCTAAGGTATCTCTACATTGTTTTGCATTGTATTGCCATTTGATTGTTGTATCATATTATATGTTTACATACTCATGTGGCTCAAATACTGCCAATGAGACATTCAGTTTTAACTCATTCATTCATGGGAACCTATATTTGCTATTTAATCAAAGTATGAAACTGTGTCACAGTTGCCACACGGTGTAACACTGAGTTTCCCTACTCCTGCTTTTACGAAAGACTAATGACGCAACATTGGTTATACAAAGTTATATTTCGTCATGTCGAAATTTCTCGTTATTTCAATTTGTTTGTGTTTTAACAAATTTCTTGGGACTTGAAATAACGAGAAAATAATCTGAGCTACGTGAAAAAAAATCATAATTCGTTATTTTAAAAACTGGAATCAAAGAAAAAAAATGAAATTACGAAAACATATTTGAAGTTACGACACAAACAAAATAGAATCATAATCGATAAACAATATAGAAAATAACTGAAATAGTGAGAAGTTTCGGTTTTAAAACATTATGCTACCACACTGGCACCATTATGATTTCTGGCACCATTTCTGGCCGCAGCTCATTGAACCTGGTGAACAATCACCCCTGTGGCCCATAAAACATAACTACACCCTTTGCTAGAACAAAACAAATAATTTTAGCAAATGTTAACATGACCAAAGTATTTAAATTCACTGAATGCATTGTATTTCAGACAACTTGAAGAAATTGAAAGTGACGAGACCATTTCATCAGCCGAAAATCGTCACTTTCCTGAAATGCAAGTGCGGCCATTGCTGTCTATTGATTTGTAGAGATCCCTTGAAGTTGTTTGCACGAGGATAATCAATAAACTGGTTGAGGTGTAAACAAAAGACTGCAGAGACAGAAGAATTGGCATATCGATTTTTGTATTTCGATCGCTATTCTTTCACTCTCGACTGCTACGAGATTGTGGTTATTATTCTTGTATACTCGCCCTATAGTATATTATTGTTATAGTAAATAGTTTGACACTGAAGTGGAACATTGAGTTTACCTGTTACTTCAACAATGGGCTTTGTCTTCAGTGCGCCCAAAAACCAACACGGCGACGAATGTCTGCTCCATGTACTTAAAGGTCACCGTGCAGGTATTAACTGTATGGCAATTAACGACGAAGGAACCATCCTAGTGACCGGCAGTGAAGACACAACAGCAATCCTCTGGAGTACAAGTCTTGACGACCCCGGATGTTATGGAGAACTGGTTGGTCATACGGAAAGAATAAACTGTGTTGCCTTCGAAGACAAATATGTTTTCAGCGGCAGTGCTGACACAACCATACGGAAATGGCACTGTGAGAGTTTAGACTGCCTGTTGGTCATTCAAGGTCACACTTCGATCATCCAACGCATTATCTGTGCTGGAGATTTCATCTTCTCAAGCTCTTACGACCATACAGCACGCTGTTGGGATTTTGACAGTGGGGAACCTCTCCGCGTATTTCGAGGACATACCAGGGGCGTCTATCCATTGTTGTTTCGACCGGGAGATGAAAAGTTCCAGCAAGAATATGATGAAGATCCTGACATACTTGTTACCGGGTCTGCCGACAATACTGCTATTTCCTGGGATATAAGTACTGGCAAGCCTCTAAATGTTTTCGGTGGCAAGTATGGTCACACAGAACAGATCACATGTCTGGCATTGGATGGTCCTGGCGACATCCTTTTCACTGGGAGCATTGACTACACAGTGAGAACCTGGTACCTACACGATGGTGGCCAGCATAGAGTCTTTAAGGGTCACGAGGGCGTCATAACCTGTATTCAGGTGAGTAAGTGAGGGTTTTCCGTTTTCCATATTTACTGTACCTCAGGATTACATTCGATAGAAACAGTTTTGATTAATTAATTTTATTCTCACTCATCTACTTGGTAAATGCATGAATGTATAAATAAATACTTAGCACAACTACGTGTTGATAAAACATCCATTACATATCGTAAGGACGATAACAATTATCAGTCATGCAGTGTTTGCCTTTTACCCTGAAAAGCTGCAGGCTGTAAGGGCCATGAACCATAAAAAGCTGTGGGTCCTGATCACAATGTGTAGGCCCTATATTTTGATATGGAAATAATATAGAAATTAATTTTGGAACAGGGGTATTGAATCACAGAAAAAATAACTATGTTGCCTAAAATCTAAATGTTGGCACAAACATTTATTACCCTTCAGATAAATTTGTCGAATTCTGATTGGTCAATAGCCAAAGCATACCAAACCATGTAGGCGGATTTGCCAGGGTGTAAAAACCGTACACCCCGTCAAATCTGTCACGTGACACACTACACGGGTTGTATGAATGATCTTGACCTTAGATGGGATGTGGCTGCCAAACAGCTGATCGCTTCTAACTTTTAGAGTTGGCGTATTCAATTCTGAGCATAAACAGAGTAATAAAATTATTGCCATAATTTCTTATTTGTTTGTGACAATAAATGTATCCCGAAATGTTTCTGTATTTCACTTCTCGTTTAACAAGACCTCAAATTCGATCATTTGTATCATAAACTCTAGGGGCGGTGGGGTAGCCTAGTGGTTAAAGCGTTGGCTCGTCACGCCGAAGACCTGGGATCGAATCCCAACACGGGTACAATGTGTGAAGCCCATTTCTGGTGTTCCCCGCCATGATGTTGCTGGAATATTGCGAAAAGCGGCGTAAAACCAAACTCAGTCAGTCAGTCATAAACTCTAGCCATCCCGAGTTATTTCCCTTTATGACGGTGTAACTAACAGTATTTATTTCCAAAAAGCTATATTCAAAGGTTATATGAACTAAAGTAAAAGCTCTTTCGTAGTACAATCCTCAGAATGGTTATGACGAATTAAATCTATATACTAATGTCACAAAAATGTTTTTCATGGTAAACTGGGATTAACAAGGAATTCACATTGAAGTACAGTGCCACATACTGGACTCAACAACACATGGATACAACATTTGTAACCTGCATTACAAGGAGAATGTACTCTATGAGTCCAAGTCCACCCAGCTATGAATGGGTACAGGGTATGGATAAGCAAGCAGCATGTACTCGCCACGGGTATTTTCAACGGGTAGTTGGTGAACAGTCTGTCATGATTATTGACACACTGTGATCGAGGGTAAAATAATAGCCGCTATGTAAGTTCATCATAAAAATAATAAATTTTGTTAGAATATTTCTTTCGACAATTTAGCCTACAAAATAAGGAAAAACATGAAAATGAATGGTCCTCGACCATTCTATATTTTGTTATATGTATTTGTCACTCTTCAGCAAGGAATATAGTCAATTCCATGCTTTTGAATTCGTGTTTGGGTGCATGTGTACTATGGTGACCTACATGAAACGCTGAAGTTTTCAAAAGTCTATCATATCAGAATCTGTTTCTATAAAGAAGGCTACATAAAAAAGATAATGACCGTTAGTCCCCTGAATTGGTAGCGACCACCTACCTGCCCCAAGGACTATCCCCTTATCAAGAAAACACGGATGAAATGTGAATGCCCTTTTAGGCACCGACGTCAAACAACGTCATCTCGTCGATAGGTAGCACTCATTTAGGTGCGATCTAAAACTGGCTGCATGCAATGTTCCTTTTTTGGCTGCTTGTTCATCCGAAGTTTGTCGTCAACAGTTTTTAACATACTATGATGAGAGGCTTACCAGCAGGCTTACAATCAGTATCAGTTTATTATTTGATATTGATTTCTCATTGGGTACTTTCCTCTGACCTTTTATACCAACATGGCCAGGAAGTTACACAAAACTCGGCCATTATCAGATTATCGGCCACTGGTAATGAACTCTGGCTGACCTGGCCCAGTATGGCCTATTTGGGTTAAAATTTGTTGGTATTTCTGGTTGCGACATTTAACTCCAGCTCATGTCAACAATCTCAGTGCAGTGTAGCCCAATCCCACCATAATATACATGAATATATTTACCCTAAAAACAGTTACATTTGATCACTTTAGCAAAGAGTCAGTTATGCAGCATTAGGCTACACATAGAGTACATATGGAGCAACTGAGTACATCAGGAGCCAGCATAAGTCGAGGTTGTTGTCATGAAAACTCAAAAAGGTTTCGAAAACCTCTAAACTATTTAAACGCATCAGTCCCGTCAACTAGGCCCACCAACTTTGGTGAAGAAAGGTTGTATTTTTTTTAAGATCCGCCTCGGAAATGAGCACAACTGCAGTTTCTAACCTTAGCCAAAGACGTTGCCATGGAAACTCGAACGCTATATTTTGTAAAAATACAATCCAAAGGCACAAGTACACTACAAGACCTTTCTAAGTACCAAAGAGTACTGTCCGTGGTTTGAACCCACACTCTCAGTGTGAGGCACCTATTGGAGTGAGACACCAGCACATACAGTCAGCCTTATACCCACTCAGCCGCCGTGGTAAGACTGCTGACTCTGTGTGCTGGCGATTAGCTGCCTTACTCTGACAGTGTGGAATCGTACTTCCCACTACTACTAGAATATGTACTCTGTACTGAGAAATGATAATCCTAAGTATACATATGTTACACTTTTAATACTACCTAACTATTTTTAACTATAAAAGTAAATTGTATTTCGTGTGTAATGCTGTTGATCGTTGATAGTATAAATATCTTAAGTATTAATAATCTGTAACGTTTCTTATACTGCCGATGTGCCTATAACTATTATTTCAGCCACAAACTTTGTTCTTTGTATTACCGGTGACAGAAACATATAAAATACACCTACCACGAAATGTTACTAATTCTGCGGTCAATCAACTGCAGGTCGTTGGTTCAACGTTATACACAGGAAGTGCTGACTGTACCACACGAAAATGGAACGTCCACAAAGGTCGTGAAATGGGCAGATACGATGGTGAAACAACGAGATCGTTAAGTTCCCTCAAGGTCATCCGGTACGGTGACGAAAAGTTCGGTGAGTACTGCAAAATATCGGCTTTCATGACTATTTCCTCCTGGAACATAATCCTAAATGAGCTTTTTGAATGATTGCCTGTTATCGGAGACCGTGATCGGAGACCGTGATAGGAGACTGTGATCGCAGACCGAGATCTCAGTCTAGTTGAATAAGCAAGTGATGTATTATTGTATCAGCACTTCGCGGTCAATGTACTTGAAGCGAAACGGTTCACACATCACAAAGAAGGCCGTATATATTTAACTTTTAACTTTCGACACAACAGCACAACTAAGTTTTATCAAGATTGGTTGCCACTGCATACCCGTGGAGCTCTACATCCTACGACCTACTCGCTGTTTCAAATATCACAAATTCAGACATGGAAATTCAGTGAGAAATTCATGCAAAGGTATGGCGACAGGTTTCAGATGTGCTGAATGTGACCTTGGTGGTAGCATCTGCACTCAGCCATTAAGCAATGTTCCAACTGTCAAGTGACCATATGTTATTTTAGACTGGTTGTAGTGATCATAAGTGTCATTCACTTCGACAAAAACTCAAATGTGAGCAAACGATCAGCTACTCTGATGCTTGTAAACAAACAACATTTTACCAACACAACAGGGCATTCCTATGTTAGTATGTATGTATGCTCACATGGCTAAAACCGTACAAACTGTTAAGTTAGCATCAGTACACTGTCAGACAGATCTGTCCTGGACAATGGACATTGCGATAACCTCAGCATAAACTTCCACAGAAACAGCCCCAGAAAGAAGGACACTACGCTATCACGGATTACTCCTCCTTAAATGAACAACACTCATTAACTCAAAGGAATTGTCTACGTTTACGAGCAAACTTCAATGACGCTAAACTCCTAGAACGTACATATCACCCTGTGACCTTCACCTTACAAGAAACATAACTTATAAAGAAAATGAAAAACAATATGTATAATTTCTATGCTAAAGCTGTTGCCGATCATTTTCCAACAATTCTCAAAACTGTCACAACCCCAGCAGATGCGCCTTCTTCCAAGTGGACAGAGCTGATTGTTATACAATTAGTGCTTTGTGTGAGGATAACAAATTCTTATTATTATATAGTACACTAACCCAATGTAATCATTTTCAGAGGGATTAACTGATATTGCTGTGACATCTAAACCCCAAACCTTAACAATTCCATGCGTACACACGCCTTGGCATACCTAGGATTGTTGAAAGGCAAGAAATGCTAATGAAAGGTCGGAAGGGATGTTCAATAAACATCCAAGTCAGAACAATCTACAAAGGTTACGAACACTAAGAACTGAAGCTATAAGAAACGAAACATTTAACAAATCCACGGACTCCCCTAGGTAAAATTTATTTGTTTGTTCGTTTGTTGTTTAACGCCGCACTCGCCAATATTGCAGCTATACACTAAATAATGCATGGAATATTATTTGAAGAATAGAAACACAACAATGGTACCGTAATGTCTCGAAAAGACATGGCGAATAAGTTAGCAGAAATGACTGGCAAAAATTTATCATACGCTAACAGTGATTTTAAATTTCCCAAATTTCAAAATTGCCGGGAAAAGAAAGCTTTTGAAAATTCTGAAGACTACAAACCAGTTTGATTGACCGAATTACATGCAGCTTTGATCAAGGTTCTAGATACATTGCCTGGACCACCTGGTATTTCAGCGTTCCATATTTCTCATAGTATCAATAATACTATATAATACTACATCAATAGTAGCATTAACTGGGTCATTTTCAAAATTGGTAGGATTTTCAATTCATTATTACAGTAAAATCAAACTCCTGAAAGTTGATTTAATTTTTATTCAAATAAAATCTTAAACACTTAATTATTCAAAACTACAAACATACAGGCTCAAATTTACTAACTGGCCTTTTAATTGATACATAAGTAATTAATAGGGTGAGGGAAAGTCCTGACCGTTACCATTTCTTAATCAGAATAAGGTTTTTGAAATATAATTCATAAAAATCTTTTAAAGATGGCAGACACAGCTTTTACACCGACTTAATCAAACTTGAAGGTAAAAACTATTATCATGAATCTTCAAAGTGTTATTTTGTATCTTTCATTTATTTACCACAAAATATTAGCAATTTTATAAAACATTATTATGTATATAGTTTTCAACAGGTAAACTTGGCTAAAATAAACATCAGCTACTAAGCCCAGAACATCTTTTGATGACACCAGCATAAAGAGGAGTGTTTCATGTATTATCATGAATTAATTAGAGCAGTCAATTAACACCAGTAACGGTTAGGACAATAGGTAACGGTTTGGACAGGAATGGTAACGGGCTGGACATAAACCTTAAACAATTTAATTCAACATAGAAACAGGTAACATGAAAGGAAAAAATGATATCATTTACTTCAGACTTTAATTTTCCATAAATTGGACATGAGCGTTCGTGAATGTAATTTCATACATAGGCCAAGACTGGTGTTTCTATTTGTAGAAATGTAAGTATGGTTTTGGTCTTTTACCTTTCAAATTGTGTATAATAGCAAGGCGACTGAAATACTGTTCAGCCTTTTGCCCGTGCCTTACTGTCTTGATTTCAATTACTGGCAAACCATGGTTAGCTTCAGTGAAGTTCCGCCTTAATTATGGAGGAACATGAGATGGGCATATTATTTGAAGATGGTCACAAATGGTCACTGCTACACAGGTCGTCATGACCATTCGAATTCATTTCGCAGATCTAACTGAGTGAGAAATAAATCTAGAGAAGAACATGTGCCACGCCAGGATGATTATATGTTTAATATCATTAGAGTAGCTTATCCAGTATTTATACACTCTGGAATAGCCGAACGTGAAATCGAAATTAAGTAAGTGTTTAGTTTGATAAAACAGCCATTAGTTTTCTTTTTGTTTAAATCGCTTTACAGTGATTACTGCTTGTTGTTATAGCTCAGCGACAATTTCTTCTATGTCACTGACTATGAACCTGCAGAATTTCATCGTTCTTTGACAACAAACTGGTGTATTCACAATCAACTTTAATTTCATATCATGGTCTCCGTGCACATGTCACTGTCAGTTAACCGTTTCAGAGACGTTTACTTCTACTAGGCCTTTACTTCTGCAGAGACACCTTGAAGAATGCAAATAGGATTAGTTTCAAAGGTTTTCATCAACAGATGAGATCACAATGCATCTCGGCCATGAGTATTGACGGGCAAAAGAAACTATACCAACATGTTGATTCCGATGTTTCGGATTTAGTGATCCCTTCGTCACTGTGACGTCAACAGCAGCAACATCCTTGGTTCATGTGGTCAGTCGAAGAACAGTTACCAGACGACTACGACATTAAGGTATTCGTGTTTATCGGCCGTTCCGTGGGATGAACTTGACCCCTCGTCATCGACGTGGCCGACTCCGGTGAGCCCGAACTGTGGGCACCACTGACAGAATCGACATTGGCAACGAATTCTTTTTACTGATGAAAGCCGTTTTCAGTTATTCAGAGCTGTAGTAGAGGAATTGAATGCGATTCCGCAAGCTTTCTTTAGGAACTTGATACGGAGCATGAGAACAAGGTGCACCTGTGTCTTGGAAGCGCGAGGAGGGTACAGAAGATATTGAATGACCGAGTATTCATGTTTGTCATTTTCATTTTGGGCGATTGGTCTATACAACTGATGTTTGCTGGTGCTGTTTGAATTTTCTGTCTGTATGTCACAATGTGTCACGTTTGTCAACACATAAAACATTATGATGACCCTATTAGTTCTATTATTTCTGATACACGTTTCTTTACATTAGCCTTATAGCATTTGACCCTTTACTAATGACGCCTAGTATATATTCTTGAAAGGTCAAATATGAGCAAAACATAATGGCCATACACAGGGCGAAGCATAGCCAGCAGATTGATATGACCATGACCATTGCTATACCTACCGTGTAGGTGAAGAGGGGCAAGTGAAACACCTGGCCCTAGTACAACTTACTACCGGACTTTGTAATGGCTGAGATTGATATGACCATGACCATTGCTATACCTACGGTGTAGGTGAAGAGGGGTAAGCGAAACACCTGGCCTCAGTCACCCTTACTACCGGACTTTGTAATGGCTGAGATTGATATGACCATGACCATTGCTATACCTACCGTGTAGGTGAAGAGGGGCAAGTGAAACACCTGGCCCTAGTACAACTTACTACCGGACTTCGTAATGGCTGAGATTGATATGACCATGACCATTGCTATACCTACCGTGTAGGTGAAGAGGGGCAAGTGAAACACCTGGCCCTAGTATCCCTTACTACCGGACTTCGTAATGGCTGAGATTGAAGGTCAAGGGTTGTAAACTTGTGATAAAGGTCACTGCGAGAAGATGGCTTTATTTCCGTTCCGTTTCTGGACTTACGACTTGTATTTTACGGTACCTGGAGGCATCCCTTTATCTGTTTCGTGAGATAGGCATGGGTGGCATTTACTGTCGTGGTAAAGTTCTAATGGTTCGTGAGGCAACGCAACACCTGTCCAGTTTGTCAATGTGAGAATGCATCGAAGAGAGCATACCTTATTGTCAGTATTGGTAACATGTGAATACATATTGTTGCAGTAATCACAGCCAGTGGAGATGACTCAATCCGGTGTTTTGAGGACGAGGGATGTAAACTTATAAAAGAAGTGGCACATGATGGACCGGTGACAGCATTCCAGGTATGGAGACTGCATTCGTTTACTCAGGATATTTACATTTTAGAGGGAGGATACATGTTCAAACGTGTAAAAATATATTTGGAGCCAAATGTTCACATGCTTCAGCGCAAATGCTGAAGTGTCATGTGATAAATGTAGCACAACCAAGTCTTGTGTCGGTCTCTTGTACCGTGATTCAATTGTACCGAAGTAGCGGTGTTAGCAAAGATATAGACTGATGCATAATTGGGTGTCTAATGCTTTGGGCTCGTCTTTGAATTCAGAAACGCTGATTGTTCCAAAGGGCGACAACTCTGCTTTTGAAATGAAAGTCTAACGTATGGGTTGTAGTCTGGTTCCTGGCTCAGTGTGCGCTGAGATGAGAACTTGTGGAGAAGCGTGACCCTGTTACAACTTCATTGAAATACGATGGTCTATCACTGGATATATAACTAGCACATGTGCTGTGGTGACTGTTAGTATACAGCCGGCACAATTGTTCACTCGAATTGCAACGATGAAAGATAACGTCGAAAATACCATGAAAAATATACATTTTCACGGCATATCCCACTCCAAGACAACGATCCATTGACCCTAGGGTAACATCGTATCAATGAAATATTTACAATAACTTCAATTATCTTTTTTTTCCTGGTATTTCCTGTCACAAGCCCTTAACTTCTACACCATTCATATAACGCGAAGTCTCATTTACGTAAATGAAATAAAATCGACCACAGGAGCATAACTGCATGGGCATCCTTTGGCGGGAATTAATCATCGATCTGTCATTATTTCACAGTTATGCTTTTACTCAGAAGTGAAAAAGAATATATAATGCAGAAACCAACGGCCTTTAAATATTAATTTTACATCACCATTTCCATCAACCATTTCCCGTTTACAGGTTATCTTTCTTGCACGCAGTGAACTATCCTGTTATAGCTAAATATCCGGATTTTCAGTACAGTAAATAATAGTATTTTCCAGATAGCTATAGAATTCCGTTTCCTTATTAGGCACCATTATCATGTTTTATTTTTCAAGCCATAAAAGCACATTTAAATTCAGCATGCCTGCATGCATGCATTCACATGTTGCCATTGTTTGTGCTAATGATATGCACATGATTATTAAGCAAGCCACACCCACTTTTTTATAAGTACGAAAACATCACACCTTGTTGTATGTGCTTGTAAAACAGACCTGCCTGACACCGTCGCCCCATAAAACCAATCATATTACGAGGCGTGGCCTCAGGAGTGTTCACTCCCAACTTAAATGTTTCACTTTCACCTGCTCTACAATTGTGAAGACAAACAACGGAAACTCCATCGTTTGCATAGCCCAACAATTCATGTTGCACGTTCATTCATGTAACCAGGTGTTGGTAGCCACGCCTATTGCTTATCAATATAACACTGACAAAATTAAGTCAAGCACACCGGTCGGATTTCTCTTTGGGGGTCCTTGAATAATCGAGAGGTAGGGTATTAATTGTTACACTTTGTAAATTGGGAACATCACATGAATAAAAATAGATGGATGCAATGATTAGTTTCATGTATATAAATGGGTATTTTAACATTTTGAGTAGGACTGTTAAATGGGGGTAGGAGTTTCGTGCTGCTCTGATGGTGTTCCAATTAGATCATAGTTCAGTTTTATCACAAATCATTGACGACAGGGATTGTCGTTACAAAACTAAGAATAATAATGACAGCAATTTTCAGATTCGAACAAACTATTTCTGCTGCCAAATATAGCTAATCACTGGACCGACCATATGTCGTCTGCGTATGCACAATACTAACTAAAAGAATGAGGTTTTGAACAAACTGTATTAACGTAAATATATTTACTGTTATCTGACTGTATCACATCACTAAACTTTGTGTTGCAGGTTTCCCGTGGGGCTTTATACAGCGTGGGCTATGACAACAACATCATGGTTTGGCACCTTAGCCGGTTCCTGGGTATCGAATGATTCTAAAGAACACAACACCCTTTCATTAAGAAGTCTTGTTTGTGACAGTATCATATTTATATCAGTTATATTTTGTCTGTTGGGTCATTTACAAGATTGAAATCCATGTTTACGGGCGTTTTTCCGAATAGACAAATACCACTTCTACACTGCTAAAATAGCCATTACATTGGCTTACAAAATCCCGTCTCCAGTGCCTTATTCTTTTAACTATTTGGTGCCTTGTGTTCATGGTGTTTTGAGTGGTATCAGTATGATAGTTCCACAGACTGAAGACCAGCTGAGCCTCTGTTTATGTTCTGCGTAGAATGGTCGTCTTTGGCACGTTGGCTTGAGATTGTTCTAATACCAGATTCGTCTTGCTGATTGTTCTAATACCAGATTCGTCTTGCTGATTGTTCTAATACCAGATTCGTCTTGCTGATTGTTCTTGTATTGATCCATGTCCGTTGGTTCCCGGAAGCTGTAAACGTCTCAGGTAAGATAGGCCCTTGTATAGTTGCGGCTGCTGCCCCAGTTACATCTGCGACGCTGCTCGATCTAAGAAGCTGTCAAACACTGGGTGCTTGTTTCAATCGGCCCCTGTAGTGAGTTGGTGTTGGTCCTGGTCAATGTCAAGTACAGCTGGATCCCTTGATTGTAGCTTATATAAACCATGGCTTAAAAGGTCATAGCCAACCGTCACACTCCATCCTGCTTAAGAATAAATGAAGAAGTATAGGTTGACGCCGCATCAGCTAATCGAGTTTAGATCTCATCTGAGTTGGATATGATGTAGAAGCGTTTGTTTGTCCCCAGCCCATGTAACATTTGACACAACTTTAAGAACATCCTGTGCCTTTAAACAGTTCTATTTAAGATTTTTTTTGGGTTATTAAGGATTATTTACTATGAAAAGTAATGTTTAAGAATTTTATTTCCTTGACAATCTTTATTGGTGTCTTATTTTAATATTTTTGGTATCGACATGCATTATTTTAGCATGTTTTTGACAGTGTTCACATTTGTACCCTCCACGATATTGTAAAACCGTCAACAACCATTGACCATCCACATTTTCATTTAAAACCCGAGCAATGTTTATTGTAATGCTAAAAAGAGTGATTGATGAAATGCTACCTGAGGAGACACATTTCCTGATCATATAAATACACTAAACGCCATAAGAAACGTTACCCTCCTTCCTTAATGACGGAGGTACCTATCTTCAGCTGGCGTTGTGATGCGTGGACGTCTACTTCTTGGTCTGTCTACGGTGATCCCAGTCTGTCTGAAGCCCTGAATACGTCTTATAACCGTGATACGGTGGCATCCGAGGGCGTTGGAAACAACATTGTATGTCGACCCCATCTGCACCATCCCAATGGTTCTTTCTCTCCCTTCATCTGTTAATCGTGGCACATTTCTCGTACTTGTGTAGCAGATCGTGTCTTCTAGGCTCTCTTTATACCCTATAGAATCATTCTACATGTGAAATGGATGTAAATACTGCTTGAATATTGCTGCGTTTTGGCGATTGATATTGCTATGTGTAAACAGAAAATGGAAAAATGTTACTTTGCAAGCAAAAAATGTTAACAAAGATAAGTTTAGATGTTCCTAAACATTGTTTCACAATATCAAAGACTCGTTTCACTTGTTTTCACTCATGCAAATCAGCAGAAAATGTTTTAAAAGACTGAAATCATGGCAATGATTAGTTTACAATTCTACACACTCTACAACAACAGTTGTTTCTTGTTTTAATAGTTGAAATATGGTGACTTTAAATGGTCTATCATTGTTCCAAAGCAGAATCTTATTTCCACCTGTCTTTTGGAAATCAAAATCACTATTATTGGTTTATTTCGGCATGGACGAATATAGGACAATTTAACTCTTCTGAAAAAGATACATTTCACCAAAATATGAATGCATTTGAGAAATGGTTTCGTGATTTGCATAACGCTGTGTTGTTAAGCTTTCTTGTAAACTAAAGCTTTCTAAAATATCTTTGATATATTTTCAGTAATTCATAAAGGTAGGAGGGTAACGTTTCTTTTGGCGTCTAGTGTATGTAGATTCTTACACAGTTATCAAGCCAGAACTTTAGCTATTAAATCGATGTACATGCGCTTGTGTGTGTCCACTGGTAGTAGACTGGGCCTATGCCTGGTTTACAGCGTCGAAACTCCACTGGGACTCAATGCCGCAGTTTTAACCAGAAGCTCAGTTGTTGTCAATCTTAAGACATGTTTCAAGTTTTAAAGAACAACGTGTGATGATCTTGTTATTGTGATGCGCACTGTCCACAGGTTTTAACACTGACAGGGGCATATTTGCATTGTATTCACACACATACGTTTACATGCTAGCTGTAGATACAACACTGATAATCTAGTTACTATCACTTGCTTTGTCAACGTATTATATATTGTTAATATTATTGTATCAAATTGTATGGCTGGGATATTGCCGATATGATGACAAAATGAAATTCAATAATTCACTAAAAGCGACACGCATGACGTGTGTCTGGAAGATTACAAAGTAAAAAGGAGTTGATGGTTGCCCCACGTGTGTCCTTATCTCAAGCACGCGTACGGTAGGACCGAAAGGACCAGCTCCCTTGTGCCTGGCCTGAATAACTAAACGATACCTCATTCCCAGCAATCAAGAAATCGGACTATGTCTTCTTGTAGAATGGACGAGATCCGGGTGGCCTTTACGGTCACGGCAGTAGGTTAATGATCTGATCATGAGCTCTCAGTCAGTACAGCGTCGGTCAGTGTGAGGACTAACCTGGCCATTCTGAGAAATGGCACATGGTGCTTCCTGGCCAGGGAGCACAAAAGATGGAAGTTTTCCCAGATATGACACGATCGTTCCTCGCCAACCAGAAGGAAATTCCTCAATAAACCAACCAATACGCCAGTGTTGGAACAGCCATTAATGACGATGCATGACAACGTTAAATTGGGGTAAAATAACAATAAAATAGCACCTCCTTGCTCGGCTTACGGCAGCAAGTAAATGTCTACCGACATGCAACATAAGCCAGGAATTTGTTTTAAGTGAGTGTTCTGTTTCGAATGTGAAGGACCCGGATCCCGGCTTTTCACTTTACAACAAATATCAAATTGTGCAAATGTTGAACGTCATCGACATTTACTCTATCAAGGACAAGACAACCGTTTTGTGACGCTTTATCATTAACATGAACATGTAAGACTTCATGAAGATGTGTAACATGGAAAAAATAGCATCTACGAAAGATATGTTTGTGTTACAAAGTGGTCTGTATGATGGTTCATCATGTTCCCAAATTATTTTATGCGACGTTTAACTCTCGCTTCACGTCGGCATATTACCACCTGAAGGCAATCATGTGAACTTTCTATTGAATGCATAAAAATTGATGTTCGATTGTGAATATCACCGATTCTATTTGTTCAACTGAAAGGTAGTGGGATGAATGTCCACAAAGAAAGCCATCATGGAATTCAGCAGTGTTCAGTGCATATACATTCCCTCACACTCTACACGTCGTCTCCTCTGAACCACTGAACGTTACATGTTTACTCTAAGGATGACACCTAAATTTTCCATCCGCATTTTAAGCGTGTTACTCTGCATATTTACTGACAATATTGTGTTTTATATCTTGTGAAGTGAAGTTGGGCTCAATATATATTTTCTCTATGAGGTATTTTCAATGTTGTCTTCAATTTCACCTTTACAGTAAATCCGACTTTGACACCGGGCAGAAAGCGAAGGTTGTCTCACTGGTCCCCAGCACGGTGGTCCCCCGCACTTTGGTTGAAAGAGATCTTTAACCCAATTTCATGTTGAATTGTTTGAATAAATATTTCAGAGTTTTAAAATGGTATCAAACTAGTTTCAACTATATTAGCCACAAAAAGCACCTGCACCTGCAACACGTGTTTGTTGTTTGTATATTCTATTTATGACATGGCATCAAATTTACACAAAATGGATACAGTTTGTAGTCCCAGTATATATGCAGAAATTAGCTGAATATCAATGCTGACAACATCTTGTGTTGACATTTTCAGTTGAATTGGCACGATTTCGTTTCTTCAACAATGCCGGGTGTCTTTGTAAACACAACGGCATGAGCTGTCTTTTAGTGTTTAGGTATTGTTGTAGGTCACTTGGTGAGTTGCACCCATCATGCTGGACAGACTCGTCAGTTTGAAGATACATTCGCCCTGAATACAATACCTGATCTGGCAGCACATTAGCTCTTTGGGAGGAGGAAAATGCTAAACCTCTTGAGCATTGATAATCACATTCAGCTGGTACATCGTGATATATACCATAAATAAGTAGGAGTATTGATATTTTCTGTCTTTAATGCGATAAGTTGTTTAACAGTGTAACAGGGACATACGGCTGAGCATTGCATGCTGTTCAACGTCAGCTAGTCATAGTCTATCTGTTTTGTTGCCATAATATTTTCGTTCCATGTTCATTTTAAGACTACAATTGAGTTTTGTACATTTATTTTCTGCTTCTTGTAAATGTACGTAAACTGTGTTTTAGCTTCTTCTTTTGCCTTATGACACTCGAGTCCATAAAAAGTGAATACTTTTGGAATAATAGTCATTCTCCTTTCCATACAATCTGCTGCATCAAGTAAACATCCAACAAATGAATCTACATCCTTCTCTAAGACATTTGTGAAATAGTCTAAATAGGGACGTATAATTGCTATATTGTCCACGAATGTGACAATCTGAATGATAATTTGAATTAATTTATCGATTAACTGTTGTTGTGATATCTCCAGCTAAGTGGGTTTGACTGTAACTTGATGGTAAGACGTACGATACTAACATTAAAATATAAGTAAACGATCTTTATAAGGCGCTTGTCTAAGCGGATCAATAATAACAAAAGAACCCTCAAACAAAATTTGTCTTATTAACACGTAAACACCTCCCGAAGATCTGCCATAATGCAGTTTTAAGGCTGTACTAAAACTGATTTCAAACTTGGATAGTACAGATATGTCAATACACTTGACAAACACTCTCAAACTGAAGTCGATTGTGAAGAATGTCACTATCATCACGTATATTACACAACCGACCATATTCCAAGTGAGAATCTAAAACGTGACGCGAAGAAATAACACTCTCTGAATCAGAATCAAATGAAGCATTTACACTTTCATATGTCGAAGTTCGAGATACTAAGGATAGTGAAAATCAGCAATAGTGTTGGATTTGTTGAAAATCAAGAAATTATCCCCTGTGTAGGAAGGAATTGCATGCAATGTTTCGACTGTGTTGGCACGTTAAGTTTTGATTTTTCAAGCTGATTTGTCTACTTACTACTATCACAATGTCAATAGTTACATCT